AGATACTGTATTATAGAATTATAGCCCTGAAATCTATATAATTGTATTAACCAATATCACACCAATGAATTCAATTAAAAAAAAAAAAAAAGAAAAGAAAACCTATGTGAAAAAATAATGATGGAAAATTTCCTAACCTAGTGAAGAAAATAGACATGCAAGTCAAGAAGCACAGGGAGTCTCAAACAAGATGAACCCAAAGAGACTCACACCAGGACACATCATAATTAAAATACCAAAGATTAAAGACAAAGAGAGAATCTTAAAAGCAGTTACTTACCTACAAGGGAGCACCCATACGACTGTCAACTGATTTCTCAATAGAAACTTTGCAGGCCAGAAGGGAGTGGCAAGAAATATCCAAAGTGGTGAATAGCAAGGACCTACAACCAAGATTGCTCTACCCAGCAAAGCTATCATTTAGAATAGAAGGACAGATAAAGAGTTTCCCAGACAAGAAAGAGCTAAAGGAGTTCATTACCACCAAACCAGTATTACAAAAAATGTTAAAGGGTCTTCTTTTGAAAAAAAACCAAAAACCAAAAAACACATTTTTATTGATTTCAGAGAGAAAGGGAGAGGGAGAAATAGAAACATCAATGATGAAAGAGAATCACTGATTGGCTGTCTCCTGCATGCCCCCCACTGGGGATTGAGCCCACAATCTGGCATGTGCTCTGACCAGGAATCGAACCATGACCTCCTGGTTCATAGGTTGATCCTCAACCACAGAGCCACACCAGCCAGGCAAGGGTCTTCTTTAAGATGGCAAGGGGCTAGAGGGATGGGTAAAAAAGGTGAAGGGATTAAGAACTACAAATTGGTAGTTACAGAACAGTCATGGGGATGTGAAATACAGTATAGGGAATATAGTCAATTATATTGTAATAACTATGCCTGGTGTCAGGTGGGTACTAGATTTATCAGGATGATTACTTAGTAAGTTATACAATGTCTAATCACTGTGCTGTACACCTAAAACCAATATAATATTGTATATTAACTGTAATTGAAAAATAAAAAATTATTTAAAGAAAAAAGAGATGCTTTAATCATCATAATAATTGTAACAGTCCAAATAATATTTTAAAAATATATATTCTATTGATTTTTTACAGAGAGAAAGGGAGAGGGATAGAGAGTTAGAAACATTGATGAGAGAGAAACATCAATCAGCTGCCTCCTGCACACCCCCCACTGGGGATGTGCCCGCAACCAAGGTACATGCCCTTGACCGGAATCTAACCTGGGACCATTCAGTCCGCAGGCCGATACTCTATCCACTGAGCCAAACTGGTTAGGGCTTAATATTTTAATTAAGTAATAATTTAAAAGGAAGACTGTTTTCACTTGTCAAACATTGAATTATTAAAGAAGAGAAATTGATTGTTGGGACACTGTAACCACCGTCTTAGGAGTGATGGGAGGGTTGGGTAAAATATAAGCTCCCGTTGCCTTTTCATGTTAATGTTTGACAATGTGAGAAGTGGTTTCATCAGAGTAAGAACAGCCTTACAGACACTGTATCAGAAGCCTATGCCCCGAATAAGCTTTTGTCCTTCTGAGGATACAGCACTGAAGTTAGCCCAACCTCCCACTTACCCTCTCCTGGGCTGGCCTCTGTGCAGGTAATTCTCACCCTCCGCACAGGTCATTGCCTGCATTTCTTCAGTGGCTTTTATTACTGTGAAGAAAAACTTTTTATTTCTATCACATGATTTGACACTAAAAATTATTTAAAAGAACTTAACAAAACCAAAGCCACGACGGAAAACCAATGTGCTGTGTAGGTATCATTTTTATGCTTGGGACCAGTTTTATTGTTTTTGGAACTATTACAAGACTTCTGTTAAACATGTTGAATGTTAAGAGGAAACAGACTCCTGGCAAATGTGGAAAACCAATTACAGAAGACGTCTCTGCTAGAGCTCCAGAAACGCCAGGGAGGCCAGCGAGCTTGTCCTCCCCCTTCTCTACCCGCCCGAAACACAGGCGGAGGAGCTGCTGAGGAAAAGACGCCTGCTACAGTGTTGTCTTTGTTTTTATATTTACAGGCAGAAGACCATAAAATGATACTTCCCGGTTAAATCTACTTATTATGGAGTAGAGTACAACATAGAACTACTTTTCCTAAGCCAACTCTGATGTAAGGAAAGTAATATTTTAAAAATGATTATTTGCTACACACACACACATACACACACACACACACAGCTTCACCACTAATAAAAGAAATCAAATTACCTTAGATTTTAACCATTTGAAGCAAAAATATTAATTCACTCACTTTTGAGCAAATTATTAATTTACTCAACTTTTATTGGTAAAAGCATACTATCATGTTAATATTCAATATTAATTAAAGAATATAATTTTATCGATGTAAACACTGACAAGATTGAAATAAATGAAACTTCAATTTTGAATCCATTACATTTTGAAAAACTAGAAAGCTGATCTAGAAAAGGAATCAATAGAGGGAACAAAGCATTTTGAAATTATTTATCCCAGCTGGTGTGGCTCAGTTGGTGGAGCACTGTCCCATGCACCAGGAGGTGGCTGGTTCAATTCCCAGTCAGGGCACATGCCCATGTTTTGGGCTTGATTCCCAGTAGGGGGTGTGCAAGAGGCAGCCAAGCAATGATTCACATCATTGACATTTCTATCTCCCCCTCTCCCTTCCTCTCTCCAAAATAAATAAATAAATAAATAAATAAATAAATAAATAAATAAATAAATATTTAGCTATTATTTCATGATGTTCAGCACTGTCCTAAGCACCAAGGTTGTGTCTGACTCTGCTCAAAGCCATGTGGCCATGTATTCTCACTAAACAGACTTACTTATTTCTATAGATATGATCATTAATCCATTTTTTAAAACATATTTTTATTGATTTTTTACAGAGAGGAAGGGAGAGGGATAGAGAGTTAGAAACATCGAAGAGAGAGAAACATTGATCAGCTGCCTCCTGCACACCCTCGACTGGGGATGGGCCTGCAACCAAGGTAAATGCCCTTGACTGGAATCCAACCTGGGACCCCTCAGTCCGCAGGCTGACTGAGCCAAACCGGCCAGGGCTAATCATTAATCCATTTTTTTTAAAATATATTTTATTGATTTTTTACAGAGAGGAAGGGAGAGGGATAGAGAGTTAGGAACATCAATGAGAGAGAAACATCCATCAGCTGCCTCCTGCACACTCCCCACTGGGAATGCGCCCGCAACCAAGGTACATGCCCCTAACCGGAATCGAACCCGGGACCCTTCAGTCTGCAGGCCGACGCTCTATCCACTGAGCCAAACCAGTCAGGGCATTAATCCATTTTTGATCAGATCTTTTTGACAGTTACATATTTAAATATTTTTACATTAGTCCTTTCATGGGTAAGACATGATCTTTGATCTCAAAGAAATTCTAGGTTTGAAAGGGCAAAGCAGTGTTTCAAATACAATGTGGTAAATGAAGTTACAGACACAGCCCATGGGGAAGGGGCCCAAGGACGTCCTCACAGAATATTCCTGACAGAAAGAACAGCATACTCGAGGGTCAAAGTGTAGGGGTAGAGGAATTTGCTGCGTGAGAGAAAAAGGATGAAGAAGGGAAAGGCCACCGCTCAAACTCGAGGTGTGGGTAGGCGCCAGATCATGATGGAGTCTGAGGCAGACATGATCAGAAGATGAAAGAAAGACGCATTCATCGGGGCTTTTTGAAAAGCCTGTTAAGAAGTGTGGGCAGAGTGAAAGGTAAGGCATGACAGCAACCGTGGGAAGCCATCAGCATGCTGAGGCTGAGGAGTTGAAGAGAGAAGACGGCATAACCAGAACCTGGTTGTGTGCGGGGGCCCAGGAAGAGAGAGTGGCCACCGGTTGAGTGCAGTAAGTCCTAGAACAAAGATAAATGAAACAAACAAACAAACAAACAAACAAGAAAAAAGATCTGACTGAAAATATTTTTACACATTTAAAAGATGCTTTAATATTTGGATTTAAGAAATATTAAGTGATAAGAGCTCAATTATGGAATTTTGTAAAAATAAGATGAAAAGGCAGTCGCTAGCTAATAAGAGGCCTGGCGGCGGTCTGTAGCTGGGCCTGCCTCTCTGGGTGTTAAGACTTGCTGCAGCCTCGCCTGTCACCCCCTGATGGCAGAGGGACTCGGTGGGTCAGGCTTGCCTGATCCTGTCCTATGCTCCGTGCAGCTGTGTGGCTTGCCTGCCAGGGTTTCACGGACGGAGGTGAGCTGCTTGCCGGCCAAGGACAAAGCGCTAAGTGCTAGCTCCCTGTGCGGGTGGGAGTGGGAGGGCGGCTGAACGCAATCCTTTTATCCTTCTGGGCCGCCAGAACATCAAATCCTGACGCCAATCCTTAATCACAAAAGTTAAACAGACTTCGCGGACTCAATTTTCAGTGATAATGAGCATCAGAAATCACATGGATTAATGAGTCCCATATGATCCCCTTCAGAATAATTTTATTTCTGGTTCTTAACAGGCACTGTGAACCAGCAAGGATGGGGACCGATTTCAGACGGACTACCCTCAGCCCCCCACCTTTGTCAGAGCTATAGAAGACCACCTTCCTGGCCACTGACTGTGGAACCAATGCCAGAAAAGACCAAGGTAAATGGGAGGGGCAGCAACCCTTTACCCTTGATTGTCATTGAAGGTGTGCCACTTCTTAGCCAAAGGTACAGAGTGAAGAAGAAAGGCAAATTATATAATATTTTTCCCCTGAAAGGCACAGCCCTTTGTCTGTTTTTTGCTACTGAACCCCCAAATCCCTGTCTTGCGTTCATGGCTCCTCACCCCTCTCCACCGTCTGAAGGACTGGGCAACTTGTAAGTATTCGGCCAATAACTGAATGGCTGACTGCACCAGTACCTCTTCCGGGCCTGACACCAATTAGAGGCAGTAAACACGGCCAATAGGTATTATTGGGGTCCTATGAAGTGATACATCTGAAAGAAGAAAAGAGAAAAAGACAGAAAAGCAGAAGGTGAGGACTTAGCCTTGTGCTTCTGTCCATGTACATACCATGTTTAAAAAAGAACAGTAGATGCAAATTTGAGAGATGCTTCTTATTTATTTATCTAACAAATCCATTTTATTTATTTTCCGTTAAGTTTAAACCCTTGAGGGGTACAACATTACACGGATTCTGTGTCCCCTAGCCTTAGCAGGAAGGTTGCTTCGGAATTTAGCACGAACCATGCCACTGTTTCCATGAGCATGAGTTTCCTTTCCCAGATGACTCTGGTTTTGTTCGGTTTGCCACCAGGAGTCACTGTGGTGTTCTTTGCTTTGTACACATAAGCACATCTCTTGCCTAGACAGAATTCTGTTTCATCTCGAGCGTAAACACCTTCAATTTTAAGAAGAGCTGTGTGCTTCCTCTGGTTCCGGAGACCCGTTCCCAGCAGGCCTCCACAGGGTCCAAGATGGTGGAAAAGCCAGGTGCTTCTTTAAAAAAACAGGTGATAGGGATGCTTGACTTTCTGTAGCAAAATAAACACAGATGGCAATCTTGCATCCACATGGTCACCCGACATACATGAATGAAAGGGCTATAGCAAAAATATTCAAATGCATAACTGTCAAAAAGATTTGGCCAAAAATGGGTTAATCATCATAACCATAAAAATAAGTAAGTTTGTTTAGTGAGTGGTTGAGAACACATAGCCACACGGTTTTGAGTTGAGTCAAAAAGGATTTTAGGCCCCATTCCTGGCTCTATACCCACCGACTGTCAGACCTTGGGCAAGCTACCTAACTTCTAGAGCTTCAGTTTCAATGCTTCTAAAATGGGGATAATTGGCCCTAACAGGTTTGGCTCAGTGGATAGAGCATTGGCCTGCGGACTCAAGGGTCCCAGGTTCGATTCCAGTCAAGGGCATGTACCTTGGTTGCGGGCACATCCCTAGCAGGGGGTGTGCAGGAGGCAGCTGATTGATGTTTCTAACTCTCTATCCCTCTCCTTTCCTCTCTGTATGAAATCAATAAAATATATTTTTAAAAAATTAATAAATAAAAGGGGGATAATTGTACCTGCCCCCTTGGATTTTTGTGAGGATCCAAGAAGAAAGTTGGTTATTCTTTATTATACTATTTTATCACCTAGAAAACTTCTTTAAGATGAAAGAAAACCCTGCTCTTCACATCGACTAATAACTGAGAATGGAGTTTGGCACATCCCAAGTTCCACAAATATTATCGCTCTATATAGATTAATCTATGGTTACATATCGAATACCAAAGCAAGGTTCCTAAGGAAAGGACTTGTTGGGAGTCTCAAACTTATTTGGCGAGACCTTTCGGACCTTATAGACTGTATCATCTTACCTGCTGCTTGTATTTATTACAAACATCTGAATTGCAATCTTTACATTTTAATCATTCATTCAATCACTTTTAAGTGAAATTTGTTTAATTATAAAAATCAACAATTTAAATGCTACCATTTTAAATAATCAAAACTGAATTTACTGCAGACATCCACACAGCTACCTGTTTCGCTTCTGGAGAGAGCTATTCTTTACGCTGATTGCTGCTTTTTTATGATGGGTGAGAGTGAGGAGCCTGGGAACAGTTGTCATCTGAGGAAGCTGCTACAATATTTTTAACAATTTCCTTGTTTCTCTTCGCTTTATAATACCAAAAAAAGAGAGGGACAAATCAAATTAGTATCATCTGTATAATAAATTTATTTAACATCAAATCTGGTTTAGTGGAAATCCCTCCATCCCTCTAATGAGGAATGAGGTCATGTCTCCTACAATAAATCATGTCCATTAAACTTATCTTCTTTTCTGGATGCTTTCCTTCTTTCATTTGTTTGTCATTTCCAAGTCTCTAATTCTTGTTGATTGCTCAGTTAAATGAAATTACTGACTTTTTTTAATGTTAAGAGGGCATGTAACTGAAGCTACAAAATATTACCTATATCAACACAAGCCTGCTCTTCATTCTACAATAATTTTCCCCCTTCAATTTTTTTAAAAGGCAAATACCGACTTAATTTTACTCAAAACTCTCCAAACATTTTCGATTTTTGTGTGTGCATCTTTTATTTCACGCGTGTCTTCTCTCTTTTGCCATTTTCTATTCCTTTGATACTAGGAACAAAATAGGAAAGTTGGTTATAGTTTATTATACTATTTCATTACCTGGAAAACTTATTTAAGATGAAAGAAAACCGTGGAGTAATAACTGATTGATCTCCATACATTTCTTTACTGCTCTCATTTTCCTTTACTCCAAAATTACACCCGGAAAGATTACAGCCCTGCGTAAGTAACTCCCACATATTTTCAAAGACAAGCTGAGAACTACGATGTCCTCCAGGGCTCTTAAAAGGTCTCGTCTACTCCCAGGTCTTGAGATGGGATTCCTTACAGAGGAAATATCAGGATTCTAAGTCGAGGATCAGAATCCGAGTTATTTTAACAAACTGAGCAAACGTGGAAAGCTACCAGTCCAGGGTCGACTTTTTACACATGTGGAAACTAAGACACAAACAGACTGTACTGTCCAGAACAAGGCTATTTCATATACTTACATATATAAATATATATAATTTATATATATACATATATATATAATTTGCTTAAAATTCTTAAAGAATATTCAGATGAATTATCATAGATCCCAATTAAAGAGATCTTGAAGACAAAACTACGCCGTAACAGTTGGCCTTTTTCAACTACCGCAATACATGGAATCTTCAAGGAAGGAGATCTTTATGCCAAGCACCGTGGTTTTATTCCCTTGGTAATGATTCTGTGTTTTGAAACGGCACCTCTGCGCCATTCTTAAATCTATCGTCTCGTAAACGTTCCGCTTTCCCACCACGCTGTTCCCCACCGTGGGGACGCCGGCTCTGCACCCATGGTGACTGTGGCGGGCGGCGGGCGAGGACAGAGACGGCCGCGACAGACAATGTCCTGCATTCAACGTGGCCTCGGCCAATCACAGGCCCGCGCCTCCCGGCCCCGCACGGCGCCACCGGCCACCGCTCGGCCGCAGGAAAACCTGGGCTCCGGGCAACCATCTGCGGCCACCCCGGCCGGCGCGCCGCTCCCACGGCGCCCACCGGAGG